TCCTCTTGTGCCATCCCTTGTTCCTTGGGAGCAGAGACCAGCCCCCTCCTGGCTCCATCCTCCTGTCAGGCAGTTGCAGAGAGCAATCAGGTCCCCCCTGAGCCTTCTCTTCTCCAGACTAAACCCGCCAGGTCCCTCAGCCTTTCCCCATCACACTGTGCTCCAGGCCCTGCACCTCGATGTCTCTCCTGTAACGAGGGGCCCAGAACTGAACACAGGATTCGAGGTGCGGCCTCACCTCACACAACGTTCCAGACCCCAGGTACTCACATGGGGGGTTTCTTTGGCTCTCCCTGGAACTTCATTTTCTTGGCAGAGTTGGTGGAGCACGGAGGAGCCCGCATCTCGCTCAGCTCCCTCTGAGGCACAGGACACAGCGGGGTCAGGGGGTAACAGGCAGCGCTGGGGCCTGGCAAGGGGCAGGAGGGAGCAGGGACCCACCTCATATCGCTTCTGATCCTCTGCTGCCTTCTTGATCCACATCAGCTTCTCCTTCTTCTCCATGTTGTTCCAAGTGGCCTCCATGGCCTTCAGTGCCTTTCCCCGGTCGTTCTGCGGCACAGACAGACCCCCACACCACATTAGATGTGCCCAAGATGCCACCACTAGCTCCAGCAGAGAACACAGGGCACCCGCTCCAGTGCTGTGACCCTTCTCCTCCCCACAGCCCCAGCCTGTTGCCTCAGGTATGAACCACCCAGGCAAGGAGTTCACGAGGCAATTCCAGCCAGTGGGAGCGATGCTCCCACCTCCAGCTCCATTCCCAACCTGCTCCTCACCTTGAAACGAGCCAGGTAGTCCCCAATGACGCTCTGCTGCCAGATTTCCTCGGCTGTTTTGGGAGACTCGGGCAGCTTCCCGCGCTCTTCCTTATCCGAGCCGTGCTTCTTCTCCGACTGTGCCTTCATCGCCGCCTCCCGCGCCTTGTACTTGGCCTGTGCCGGGGTGCAGGGAGGGAGTGAATGAAGGGGCAGCCCCCCCTCATGCACAGGACACCCCCCCAACCATTTGTCCCTTCAACTGAGGCTCAAGGACTCTCTGAGGTTTCTTTCAAGGGGGGTTTTGTCCCACCAGGTCAGGAGAGGGTTTCAGCAGAGCTGGTGGCACCCACTGGTGCTGACACCAGTGCTGGGTGATGCTCAGGGGTGACCCCGCAGCAGGACAAGCACAAGGCAAGTTCCTCAAGCTGCTGGAGATGCCCAATGGAGACAGGGATGGAGGAGGAAGAATGGGGATGGCACCAACCTTCTTCTTCTCAGAGAGGTCATTCCACATGCGGGCCAGCAGCCGGGTCAGCTCGCTCTCCGACAGCTCCGGCCGCTCCTCCTGCAGCTGCTTCCGCTTCTCCTCCGAGAAGATGAACATGGCAGAGATGGGCCGTTTGGGCTTCTCTGAGCTGGCCTGCGGGAGGAGCACACAGCACGGCTGGGAGTGAGCCCGCTGAGGGACCTGCCTCACACCCGCAGCCTCCAACCAGGGCAAACACGGCAAGAGCACCATGGGGTGACACCCTCCAAGCACCCCCCGAGGTGGCCGCACCCACA